TAGTTTGTTGTATTTGAGAACGGGAAAAGACTTCGAAAACTACGGTGAGGTCATCATGAACCTTAGTAATAAATTCCAGTACAAACTATAATACGGCTGTAGTACAATAACCACCGTCAATGGAAGAGACTTGGTTTCACAAAGCTCAAACTCCTTCACAAATATGCGTACATGGACAATAAATAGTCGTGGTGGTCGATTTGACAGGCCCAGCGTATACATTAGCCCATTTTTAGAGATTATAAACGGTTCTCTGGAAGTGTGGACGTTTAAGAAATTGGCAAACTCCGGAGATGTTACAATCCAAAGCAGGTGGGAAGGAGTACTTTCATATTTTCGAACGACATGGCCAACGCAGAAACCATGATTAATACTTCCAGTTAAACTTCCGATTATTTGATAAATTCAGGTAATATTATCAACAATGGTCACTTCGTTAAAACTATGACCTGAACTCTGATATAGAGTTTGGCATCCAGTTTCACAATAATTGTATTGTTAAATTTTCCGGCTCTTCAGGATCTTCTATCAATCAACTAGACTCACTTCGTAATGATGGTTCTACTAGCATCAGGCATTGAAAATTCAGAGGTGGCTCGTCATTAAAAGGTACCACATATTGAGTGCTTGTGCAATCTTCTGTCTTCACTCAGCACGCTCCACGTTTGGCGATTATCTTCCTCTATATTATTATTGATGATCAAGTCCATCCTGAGGCATTGAAGCTTCAGCCTTCCATGCAATTAACTAAGAGAACAGGAAGTGTCCTCTACAAAGTCCTCTACAACCTACATCCTCAACTATACCTTAACTTGAAAAGAAGAGACAGGGAGGCTTTTCCCTCTCAGCATTCTTAAATGCAATTAACACTAATATATACTCGGTAGGACACAGGTGGTACCTACTTTGCCTAATTCAAACTTTATTGATTATTCGGTACAGTAATCTCCAATCTAGCGTTCCATTTCAAAGTTCGGGCGCAAGAATGTTGCATCGCGTACCAGACCGACAAAAGAAGAAAGTACATGAGCAAGCAAAAAATTGTTATTGCCACAGCAGTTGAAATTGGTTAAAATGAAACAAATGGGGTGGTAAAAAATGATTTCGCCCAGGATCGAACTGGGGACGTTCTGCGTGTTAAGCAGATGCCATAACCAACTAGACCACGAAACCATTTGTTGTTGAAAACCAAATTAATTAAACTATCATCAAAAGAATTGATTCTAAAATTCCAACACCGTTATTTCAGCAGCTACACTAACAGGTCTATGATTACATAAGTATTCCATGATATAGAACCTAGTAAACGTTATTTTAAGAAAAAAATCAGCCATTTTCCTTTAACCACTGTTGATAGAACCATTAACATGATATTATAGTATGGTACCAGACAATTACTATATCATGATTAAAAAGAGTTTTTCAAAGAATAGAGTTTCACCACCGCCTTGTTCGTATTATTAAGCACGAGACCAGCGTCAAATCTAGTTTCAATTATGTGAACTTTGGCAACCTACTAATTATAGCTCTTAATTAGCCTGTCAATCAATTTCAACGTACATTGGCATCGCTGGTACGTTACGTTCATCGTCGACTAAAGAGTCAGATTACTGCCACTCCGGCCACATGATGTGCTTTATCAACACCCAATATTATTGTTAGGACCTAAGTTAAAGCTGGATTTTTGGTCTTCGCAACTATACATGGTATTTTCTGGAAGCAGCAGCTTGTCTAGTCAGTGGCGAGAGATTTCGTGACAGCATCACAACACCCTCGTTAGAAATTTCTATAAATCTATGGCTATTTTAATAACGCGAGAGTAGGTTGTTAGGCAGAAACGTGTCTTTAAGAAACGCTAATCAAGAAACCATCTAAAAACTGGCTCATCAGTAGTAATCGAAGACAAAAGGATTCCCGGATATACGGTTGAACTTCACACATTTAGACGGTAGAAGTGATGTAATACCACAGTTTGTCATCGCGTAGTGTTTAGATGGAGGTCATCATACCTAACCTTAAGTAGGACCTACGTTTTTGGCAGTAAAAAGGTTTTTGTATTTCCCTTCTTTATACATACAATACTTCAGACCATGTTACATTATATAGAATTTGTTTCGTGCTGCTTCAAAGAAAAATTAATGCGGTCACCATAAGATTAAGCAAACTTTGAGGATTTTCTGAGTCCACAAAAGATTCCTTATGGAGGGATGTAGATGCCCAGTAAAGCTATGGGGAAACGGCATCTCAACAAAGCAGAGTTTTAGTCACTGAGTAAGCGGGCTTTTGAGTTTGTAATGAGGCATAGTCCCAGAATCCATCATACCGATGTTTTAAAATTGAAAGTGAACTCTAGTTGACAAATGAGATTATGGAAAAAGGTGGTGACCTTCCATTTCGTAAGACATAGAGTTTGATGTTGAACTTGACATAAGGTGTAGTATAGAAGCTAATTGATGAAGATTAAAGGTGTAGGAAAACAGTTTTGGATCAAGGATGTCATAAAATTCTAGGTACTCATGCCGAAAGCTAAAATTCCAGTAGTAGCTTCCCTTTATCGTTAAGATGGAAAGCAATGCATTAGTTCTCCTTTCTTTTTGTTATTTTAACTATATCAATAATGAAATTTTGCAAAATTAAACTTATAAGATGGATGGTACCGTTCGTAAGAGTTACAGTCAACAAAGATGCGATAGTTCGGTAAAGAAAATAGTAGTTTGGTTACAAACAAATTTATAGAATAATCTTACTCTCAAATGAGTAAAAGAATTGGAATGAAGAAAAGATCTCATTTTTGCTTTGATCATTAGGACTTTGAATCACAACTTAACCTTCATAATGAGGGTATCATTTCGATGGTTGTATGCCGGATATTGATGACGAAGTGGACAATATCACCATATCTTTAAAAAGATCCAAATACGATTCCAAGACTTATCTAATTCATGGGTACAGGTGAAATGATGAACTTGATATTTCGCTGTTTATTCTCGAATAAAACTCTATTTTTGCGGTGACTTCGCAATAATTTTGTTCTGCAGTAGATAAGGATTTGTGCGTAATTATTGTGAAAATAAAGCTGAACAAGAAATGTTCAAGAATATCATAAGTCGAATAAAGACTTTGAGAAGAAAAATTTCAAGTTAGGAAGATATTAAATCGTTGCACAAGCCACTCAATAGTCTTTTAATTGTACGTATTAGTTAGCATTCAAACATTGCGGCTTTATTGTACATCGGCAATACCGCGTCTAGCCATGCTGATGGAGTAAATTAGCAGAAACATTACGATACTTCGACTCTTCTGGTGAAAATATTCCTCTTAATTCATATTTTGCCACTTATTAAGAATATATCTAATAACTTCTTGGGTGTTTTTGAGTGAGTTAGATGAGTCGCAGATAATAATCACTATGGAGCATCTTTGCTCATTTTCTCTTCTGCTCATAAATTGTAACCGTTGTAGTTAATATACGAGACTAAGCAATATCATTGAAAATAGTACGGATCATGGTCATTAATCCTTCTGATTACTCTTTCTGGAAACGCTACAGCTGTCTTGATTGGTGTCCAGTAACATACTTGAATGATTGTTAAAATTCAGCGTGGGTCACTTTGCAACTGTCTTCTTTCTCTATTTCTTGTAATGCTGTGTCTGTTGCCTGGGATTAGTATTGAATGATTCATACAGCATGTCAACTTTTCAAGGGCTTCTTGAAGCTCCGCATCGATCTCAAAATCCAATCAGAATCAAAGTAACCAAAAACTCCGATTCGAGCATATTCACTTCTCAAATTACCTGCAAAATGACGCACCTACGTACCAATCCTAAGCATTATCACGACAACTTATCTGTTACCTAACCAAAGACTCCAAGAGCAGGAAATAGCTTCCTCAATTTGGAAGATGTGTTACCATTCCTGCCGTTTTTATTTTTTTCTTTACCTGCAGTTGACTGATGCGCGTGAATTCCTGCCAAAACTTTATTATGCACCTTTATTCCTATACAAACCAACATCTGAATGAACGTGCATTGCGTCTGGAAACTGTCAAGGGTAGAAATAAGAGACATGGTCATAGTCCATCAAATTAGCTTTGAATGAGACACTCCGAATTTATGAGCAATAGAATTCCAAGCCCTGAGTTGTGAGAAAGGTCAATTTTTATTAACGAAATGTACAACGTGCTACAATAATCTTAGATTTGCATAAGTGCTAATAATGGTTACCTTTCTTCCAAGACATAAGTACACGCGCAGGATATTGCTCAAATTTTGAACTTCATAGTAACTTTTGTGTAATATTGATAATTGAACGGTTGTAGCCTGTAAAGGTCATTAGGTGCCTCAACAATGATCTCATCTTATTTGCGAGCACTAGGATAATCCCGCAGACCAACCAATTTGACAACAACTGAGAGTGTAACTTACGAAATTATTTGTTTAAGTGTACCATTATATTTGCTTCTGCACAACTAGCAGCAGCTCTTCGAGGCTTAATTTAAGGGTTATGCACGTGAAGTGGGAGATGAGGACAATTCTCCTGTAGGGGAAAAAATCTTGAGCACTTGTCCTCACTGCAAATGCAGAAGCAGATCGAAGGAATACACAGAGCGTTCATGTCACAAGCTCCAAATGATCATGCACAATGGAAGTTTCAATATGACCACGAAGCAGCCGAGGCAAGAAAGATGGACGTATGATTGCATCAACAGGGCGTTCCGTGAGCGATCTAGTAAAAATTTATTCCTTGAAATATTAACATAGAAAGGGAATCACTTACTGAATGTTCTTGAGGTATATGGTGAGTGAGAGATTGATACTGCGTCTCATGAGATTATAAAATGTTAGTTCCGATGGTCATGTGTGCGCAGTATAATGTTTCCTATGCATGAATTTGCAACTGCATTAATATCAAAGTAAGCTGCTTTAACTGAAACCACGGCTCTCCTAAATACCATATAAAAGGATGTGAAACTCTTACATTTTCTAAAATAGTGCTCTCTATGATTTTGCATGAGTTTGTGAGTTTGGCACTTCTAGCCACCGTCGTACAAGCGGCTACTACAACGGTTTCAACAACATCGACATTCCCCTTTACCAGTTACTCGCAAAGTTCTACAGACCAATGGCTCATAGAGACAGACGGGTCTTTGACTTTCAGCAGTATTCTGAACTTGAAAACAGGCAAAAACTTCGAAAATTATGGCGATGTGATCATGAACGCTAACCCAGGTGCTACTTTGGAAATGGATTCCTTAACTAATTATGAAACCGGTTCGGTTAAGATAGCTGCCTCTGGAGGAAGCTTAACATTTCAGAGCTCTAACACATATACCAACCAGGGCTTATGGGTCATGTCAACACCTGGCGATTTAGAAGTCGATTTGACTGATTCCCTGTACACTTTACTCAACTCTGGTTCCTTGACATATGAATCGGGTGGCGACATGGCTATTTCTGTTTCGAAAGTTTTCATAAACTCAGAAGAAGTTAGTTTCACTGCTAGTGGAAAGGGAACGTTCTCCTTCTCTAGTGATTTTACCAACTCAGGAACCATGATTGTAACTTCTAGTTCTGTATCTGATACCTTTAAGATCTCGGACACTTTTGTCAATGATAATTATTTTGTTTATAATTATGGTCTGAACTCTGGTACTGCTTTCAGTCTCTCCAGCTTGTTGTCCACTTACACGAATAACGGAATCATGAATATTTATGGATCCACTGGTTCTACAAACATGAACCAAGATGGACCCATTGTGAACGATGGTTCCATTTGTCTCAGACATACAACTTATAATGGTGGAGCAAAGCTTTCAGGAACTGGTTGTTGGGTTTTAGCTGATTCTTCTGTTTTCACTCAGCATGTTGCTCGTTTGGCTAATACGCAGACAATTGTTTTCAATGATACTTCTGCTTCGATCCGTGTTTCGAGTGTGGGGTTGGGTTCACATTATACTATTTATGGAGTCCAGAACGGTATGACTTTCCTTACCTCATCACTTCTAATTGGCAGTGTTGTTTACTCTCCATTCACAGGTATCTTGACATTGACACTGGGTCTTCTTTCAACAACCTATGATATAGGTTTAGGATACGATCCCACAGGTTTTACCGTATCCAGCAACAATGTGAGATATGTTGGAAACGATCCTGTTAAAAGAGACATTCCTGGGGAATGTATTTGTGAACCACAGGAGCAATCGTCGTCCGTTTTCTCATCATCTGCAAGCTCCTCGTCAAGCATCTCGGAAACATCATCCGAGGCTACTTCGTCTCAGTCATCTGAAGCTACTTCGTCTCAGTCATCTGAAGTTTCTTCGTCTCAGTCGTCCGAGGCTTCATCGTCTCAGTCGTCCGAGGCTTCATCGTCTCAGTCGTCCGAGGCTTCATCGTCTCAGTCGTCCGAGGCTTCATCGTCTCAGTCATCTGAAGCTACTTCGTCTCAGTCATCTGAAGCTTCTTCGTCTCAGTCGTCCGAGGCTTCATCGTCTCAGTCGTCCGAGGCTTCATCGTCTCAGTCGTCCGAGGCTTCTTCGTCTCAGTCGTCCGAGGCTTCTTCGTCTCAGTCGTCCGAGGCTTCATCGTCTCAGTCGTCCGAGGCTGCTTCGTCTCAGTCGTCCGAGGCTTTATCGTCTCAGTCGTCCGAAGCTTCGCCTCAGTCATCTGAAGCTTCATCATCTCACCCCGCTTCTGCCTCCAACTCTCAAACTGAGCAGTCGACGGCCCCTTCTGTGCAAACTTCTCAATCAGTCGAGGAATCTCAGGCACTTAATTCTAATACTGAGTACACTACCACTTGGACCACCACCAACTCTGATGGATCTGTTGAAACTGACTCTGGAGTTGTTATTGTGACTACTGACTCCGCAGGTGTTCTCACCACGAGCACTTCTAAGCTTTCTCCAGCTCAGTACACCACCACCTGGACCACCACCAACTCTGACGGATCTGTTGAAACTGATTCTGGAGTTGTTTTTGTGACTACTGATTCTGCAGGTGTTCTTACCACGAGCACTTCTAAGCTTTCTCCAGCTCAGTACACTACTACTTGGACCACCACCAACTCTGACGGATCTGTTGAAACTGATTCTGGAGTTGTTATTGTGACTACTGACTCCGCAGGTGTTCTTACCACGAGCACTTCTAAGCTTTCTCCAGCTCAGTACACTACTACTTGGACCACCACCAACTCTGACGGATCTGTTGAAACTGATTCTGGAGTTGTTATTGTGACTACTGATTCTGCAGGTGTTCTCACCACAAGCACTTCTAAGCTTGCTCCAGCTCAGTACACTACCACTTGGACCACCACCAACTCTGACGGATCTGTTGAAACTGATTCTGGAGTTGTTTTTGTGACTACTGATTCTGCAGGTGTTCTTACCACGAGCACTTCTAAGCTTTCTCCAGCTCAGTACACTACTACTTGGACCACCACCAACTCTGACGGATCTGTTGAAACTGATTCTGGAGTTGTTATTGTGACTACTGACTCCGCAGGTGTTCTTACCACGAGCACTTCTAAGCTTTCTCCAGCTAAGTACACCACCACCTGGACCACCACCAACTCTGACGGATCTGTTGAAACTGATTCTGGAGTTGTTTTTGTGACTACTGATTCCGCAGGTGTTCTTACCACGAGCACTTCTAAGCTTTCTCCAGCTCAGTACACTACTACTTGGACCACCACCAACTCTGACGGATCTGTTGAAACTGATTCTGGAGTTGTTATTGTGACTACTGATTCTGCAGGTGTTCTCACCACAAGCACTTCTAAGCTTGCTCCAGCTCAGTACACTACCACTTGGACCACCACCAACTCTGACGGATCTGTTGAAACTGATTCTGGAGTTGTTATTGTGACTACTGATTCTGCAGGTGTTCTTACCACAAGCACTTCTAAGCTTGCTCCAGCTCAGTACACTACTACTTGGACCACCACCAACTCTGACGGATCTGTTGAAACTGATTCTGGAGTTGTTTTTGTGACTACTGATTCTGCAGGTGTTCTCACCACAAGCACTTCTAAGCTTGCTCCAGCTCAGTACACTACCACTTGGACCACCACCAACTCTGATGGATCTGTTGAAACTGACTCTGGAGTTGTTATTGTGACTACTGACTCCGCAGGTGTTCTTACCACAAGCACTTCTAAGCTTGCTCCAGCTCAGTACACTACTACTTGGACCACCACCAACTCTGACGGATCTGTTGAAACTGATTCTGGAGTTGTTTTTGTGACTACTGATTCTGCAGGTGTTCTCACCACAAGCACTTCTAAGCTTGCTCCAGCTCAGTACACTACCACTTGGACCACCACCAACTCTGATGGATCTGTTGAAACTGACTCTGGAGTTGTTATTGTGACTACTGACTCCGCAGGTGTTCTTACCACGAGCACTTCTAAGCTTTCTCCAGCTCAGTACACCACCACCTGGACCACCACCAACTCTGATGGATCTGTTGAAACTGATTCTGGAGTTGTTTTTGTGACTACTGATTCTGCAGGTGTTCTTACCACGAGCACTTCTAAGCTTGCTCCAGCTCAGTACACTACCACTTGGACCACCACCAACTCTGACGGATCTGTTGAAACTGATTCTGGAGTTGTTTTTGTGACTACTGACTCCGCAGGTGTTCTTACCACGAGCACTTCTAAGCTTTCTCCAGCTAAGTACACCACCACCTGGACCACCACCAACTCTGACGGATCTGTTGAAACTGATTCTGGAGTTGTTTTTGTGACTACTGATTCCGCAGGTGTTCTTACCACGAGCACTTCTAAGCTTTCTCCAGCTCAGTACACTACTACTTGGACCACCACCAACTCTGACGGATCTGTTGAAACTGATTCTGGAGTTGTTATTGTGACTACTGATTCTGCAGGTGTTCTCACCACAAGCACTTCTAAGCTTGCTCCAGCTCAGTACACTACCACTTGGACCACCACCAACTCTGACGGATCTGTTGAAACTGATTCTGGAGTTGTTATTGTGACTACTGATTCTGCAGGTGTTTTTACCACAAGCACTTCTAAGCTTGCTCCAGCTCAGTACACTACTACTTGGACCACCACCAACTCTGACGGATCTGTTGAAACTGATTCTGGAGTTGTTTTTGTGACTACTGATTCTGCAGGTGTTCTCACCACAAGCACTTCTAAGCTTGCTCCAGCTCAGTACACTACCACTTGGACCACCACCAACTCTGATGGATCTGTTGAAACTGACTCTGGAGTTGTTATTGTGACTACTGACTCCGCAGGTGTTCTTACCACGAGCACTTCTAAGCTTTCTCCAGCTCAGTACACTACCACTTGGACCACCACCAACTCTGACGGATCTGTTGAAACTGATTCTGGAGTTGTTATTGTGACTACTGATTCTGCAGGTGTTCTCACCACAAGCACTTCTAAGCTTGCTCCAGCTCAGTACACTACCACTTGGACCACCACCAACTCTGACGGATCTGTTGAAACTGATTCTGGAGTTGTTATTGTGACTACTGATTCTGCAGGTGTTCTTACCACAAGCACTTCTAAGCTTGCTCCAGCTCAGTACACTACTACTTGGACCACCACCAACTCTGACGGATCTGTTGAAACTGATTCTGGAGTTGTTTTTGTGACTACTGATTCTGCAGGTGTTCTCACCACAAGCACTTCTAAGCTTGCTCCAGCTCAGTACACTACCACTTGGACCACCACCAACTCTGATGGATCTGTTGAAACTGACTCTGGAGTTGTTATTGTGACTACTGACTCCGCAGGTGTTCTTACCACGAGCACTTCTAAGCTTTCTCCAGCTCAGTACACCACCACCTGGACCACCACCAACTCTGATGGATCTGTTGAAACTGATTCTGGAGTTGTTTTTGTGACTACTGATTCTGCAGGTGTTCTTACCACGAGCACTTCTAAGCTTGCTCCAGCTCAGTACACTACCACTTGGACCACCACCAACTCTGACGGATCTGTTGAAACTGACTCTGGAGTTGTTATTGTGACTACTGATTCTGCAGGTGTTCTCACCACAAGCACTTCTAAGCTTGCTCCAGCTCAGTACACCACCACCTGGACCACCACCAACTCTGATGGATCTGTTGAAACTGATTCTGGAGTTGTTTTTGTGACTACTGATTCTGCAGGTGTTCTCACCACAAGCACTTCTAAGCTTGCTCCAGCTCAGTACACCACCACCTGGACCACCACCAACTCTGATGGATCTGTTGAAACTGATTCTGGAGTTGTTTTTGTGACTACTGATTCTGCAGGTGTTCTTACCACGAGCACTTCTAAGCTTGCTCCAGCTTCCGAGGTCACCAGCTCAGGATCATCCACTATTTCTGCTGAACCAACTTCTTTGTCCACTGCATCACCATTGATTAATCCGGCAGGTTTGGTTGGGCTTGACATCATCACTGATATTTCAGTTCATGACAATTCTACTGGTAGTTTTATCGGCTACAAAGATGATCTTTTCACCGTTGTTGTTACACTTAAAAGTGCAAGTTCAATTCCATTGGGTTCAATTACTCAATTTACTGTCCCAGAAGTCTTCTACGGTAACTTGAATCCATTTGAGGTTTACTCCGGTGATGGCGAATATGTGGGGACTATCTCGAGTGATGATTCTAACGTTTTCACCATCGTCTTCGATGGTAAATTTGGTCTGACTCACACTGATATTGAAGCTGCTTTTACTTTCAATGTTAAGTTGAGATACACCACGGCGCTCACCAAGCGTGCAGAGTTGTCGTTGGATCTTAGTAGACCAGTGGCTCAGCCATTTGTTTTCACCACTGTTTCATCTGCGTTCACTTCTATCATCTTTTTCCCTGATGTTTCTTTGGATGGTATTGTTGGCAAAGTGCTTATTGGCGATGTCTACGTATTTGTTGGGGATGCCCTTTCTGGCGCATCCAATTCTGCTATTTCCACTGGATACTCTGCACCATTCTCATACTGGAACAACACTGTTACTGCCACTGAGACTGGCACATCTCTCGTCACTGTCACTTCCTGTGCTAATGGTAACTGTCATGGAACTTCCAAGCTGACTTCGAAGGCTTCATCTGCTGTTGCACCAACTACGGTCTCGGTAACCAAGGATCTGACCGTGATTGTGACCATCACTTCTTGCTCTAATCACGTCTGTGTTCCAACCACGTCTAAGGCTTTGGCTTCCATTGCAACCACCACTGTCCACGGCGAGGTTGTCTTGTACACCACTTACTGTCCACTTAGCAGTGAGACCGGTGAGAAGGCTGCCCAGGAGACTTCTGGATCCGCCAACTCTGGATCCAACTCGGGCTCTAACGCTGGTTCTGCCAACGCTGGCTCTAACGCTGGTTCTGCCAACGCTGGTTCCAACTCTGGCTCCAACGCTGGTTCCAACTCTGGCTCCAACGCTGGTTCCAACTCTGGCTCCAACTCTGGCTCCAACGCTGGTTCCAACTCTGGCTCCAACGCTGGTTCCAACTCTGGCTCCAACGCTGGTTCCAACTCTGGATCCAACTCGGGTTCTAACGCTGGTTCTGCCAACGCTGGTTCTAACGTCGGTTCTAACGCTGCATCTGGAGCAAATGTCCAATATGACACAGGTATATCGACTTTGATTACTGCTACCAAGGTTAGTCCACAAACTACACAGTCTACATCTTCTACGTCCGGTAATACAGGTCCGGCTGTATCTGTCAACGAGAATAGCGCTCGCGGAAGTGTCAACACCAGTTCTTTCACTGCTATTTTCATTGGATTGTTGTCTCTTCTTACTACTTTTGTTTAGTTGGACTGAACATTTTCCTTATCGATATCATTTTCCGAGTTTCTTTGGGCATTTACATTCTTCATGTTTTCTCTCATTTTCATTCTTAGCTTCACTTTCATAATTTTTAATACCATTTTCTTAAAGTTATAACACCTTATCCTTGGGAAGGTAGAGCTTTTTCTGGCCCATCATAGCTCCTTCTACAGGCAATGGTTTGGATAAAGTAAGGGATCTCAAGAAGTGCACATTTGGTGTGGTAGTCTGATGTGGTAGTGTGAAAAAACTTTATGGGGGCAGGAATTTGACTTTTGATAGAACTTGGGGCAGTACGCTTTCAATGATACGCATATTGGCACATTCTTTTCTATCCGAGTTGTAAATAAAAACCACCACAGGGACCTCATGCATTTAAATAATGAGTGGTGCCAAGGGAAATTCTTCATTTCAATTTTTATTTAGCCCCGGATACTCATCGAACGGTTAAAAAATGCTGGGGCAGATGGGCTTAACCCGACAGTCCTTGCCCCAGTCTGTGTCGCTTAATATAATTCTCAGATTCAAGCACAAGTCACTCTTCACGTCGTAATTCGAGCTACGAAAAACCTGTCTCGTCGCATATAAAATATGTTCTTAATATCTCATCTCATGTTCGCTGGATGAGGTGGTAAGTTTATTGAGCGTAATAACAATAACAATTTGTTGATTTTATCGCAGTAATCCCAGATTTTGCGAATCCACTTCCCTTATATTGCACGCAACATACATCTATCTTACTGGGCACTTTTAAAATTTTATTAACAACGAAGTTCATAGCAATCAAATCATTTTCAAGTGTACGTCTGTACAGTCGAGCTGTATTACACTCAAGTGGGATTGTCTTGAGAGTTGTGATTTTAAAGTCAGTCGTGCAATCAACTTCCTGAGAATTTGCTGTATCCAGGGCAAAGGCAAAAACGGGAAGGATAGCCTCTTCCCCTGAAGTTCTATACAAGCAAAAATATTTCGAATAGCATCAGGCACGTATTCAGTTTCTTAATACCCAGATGATCTCGCATTTCACAAACCATTTCTTTGCACTTCAGTGGACGGACGCTCGTGCACTAAAATATTATGGTAATCACTTGTCAGTAGACTTCATTCCAATAGAATTGTTCCACATGGAGATGTCGAGATCAAGGAAAGATGCTTTCTTGCCTTCTCCTCAATCTGGTGAGGGGACTTTAGAAATTGTATGCAAATATAACCAAGGTTGCGGTTTATTAGAATAAGTTTGCTTGTAATACTACGATAGGGGGATGTTAGTCAGAAATGTCTATTGAACAAACGCTGTTTAAAGAAACAATGACAAACCGGCTTTTAATTAATTAAAGACAATAGAATCAGATAGAAAATGGGTGGCAAATTAGTCGGGCAGCCGATTAGGCTACACAGCAAGTCCTCGTATGGTATCTCTTGAGGAGTCACCTTATCTAATAATAAGATCTAGGGTTTCAGTGATAGAGTCTTTTGTACATTCTACATTTAGACAGAAATTGCTAAGTAGTATTGGCAAAAACCAAAGATTAAATTATTTCGCAACAACAACTGTTTAATTATACAGCATATTTCACCGATGTATTGGGGTATTGGTTTCGACAGTGATGTAATTGCAAAATAATTAGAGCCTTACTGAATAAATATAAAAGCTATGTCTGATAATCTAGTTAGCCATATATAAAAAAATTAGTATGAACTTAGCGGAAGAAACTCCACCCAATGAAATGTACAATAATGATGCGTTTGAAGCATGATAAGTTCAATTATGTAAACTAGTCATCAGTTTTGCAATTCTTATGTTGTATATGAAGCAGAATTCAAATTCATTCATATCTACTATTGGAAGTCTGGTCTTTCACCAGGAGCCAAGACATCTTCCTCTTTAACTATGAATATTTTTCTGCCTAGACTTCAGTTACAATTTCCAATCTCATTTAAGACATCTACTAACTAATAATCAGTTAATATCAATGTCTTTCAGAAACTTTATCATAAGGTTTCTCTTATACATGTTCATGATGTTGCTCAGGTTGTCATATATGTGCTGTTGAAGCAGAATTTAGTCAGAGACGTGTCATAAGGAAACAATAATCTAGATAGCAACGCTACAAAGGTGTTTTCAAATAGTGAATTGGAAACAGGGAACCTTTTGTATCGCCTAGTCATCCCTGAGGCAGTGTTCAGCCCGACATGGTTTACCAGTAGAATAGATGCGGATGACCATGGGGAACCATTGCATCACCGATAGCACTACGACTAGGCAATTGCAGACGAATATAGAGAGAATTGCAAGAACATAAAGAGTTAACAAATAGAATCAAGTTAGATGGCGATTTTTTCAAGGAGGTTGATAAGTAAAAGATGAAAAATAGTTGACAAATTGGAAGAGAAATGATGAAGTAATACTCGATCTGCTGTAATTATACCCTTTTCTTAGCACTCACTACAACAACTTGCTCTTGCTTGGCTCCTTGTAGCACTT